AGCTATAAATCTCGCATTCCACCTTAGTGGCATCTGGAATATCTCCATGCACTTTTCGAATTAAAAAAAAAAGAATGAAAAAATTTGTCGGCGCCCTCCAAAGCCCCACTCTCTGATGTTGCCCTTGTTTCCAGCGATTGCCGTAGTTAGCGACAAGGCATCGCTTGCGATCAAGGTTCGGGTTTTGTCCGCGGAGTAGGAGGGTGTAAAGTTGTCAATCGCGAACAAATTCCCTCCATCCGGGCCTTAATCGAATCCCCTTGGTTTCATCCCTTAATACTAATTAGGAGAGAACATATTAATTTTCAGTACTGAATGAATTACTTGAAGATTATAATGTTCTCCATTTACCTTCCGCCGGTGAAGACTTCAGTTTAGCACTCCAATCACCCCGGTTTCCCTCATCCATTTTCTACATCTCCTCCGACCATCATTACCGACCTTCTCGGTCTCGTGGCGTGCTTTACTCACAGGTATGTTCCCCCTGTCGAACCTTTACCATAAGCTGATCTCCCCTGTTATCTCAATTATTTGAAATTGTCAATTGCGATGGTACCGCCATCCCTGTCATGGGTTCCAATCACATATGACACTGCGAATGGAGTTGTGGCCTTTGGATACTCCGAACGTCAAGAGCTGAGGAATCTGAATCTGTCTGAACCTAGACTCCAGTGTATCATCCTCTTTGGTTATCATTATAACTCTTATCTCGTGTAGGTGGATATTCTCTCGCATCTGTGTCATACCGTGATTCCCGTCAACAATAATTAATAATGGCTGATACGACAGTGGATGCAACAAGACGATTGAATGTCAAGAAACAGACGTTGGACGATGCGTACGCTGCACCAGCTAATTTTCTTGAAATTGACGTGATCAATCCGATAACTCACGGTGTCGGCAAGAAACGATACACCGATTATGAAGTTCGGATGAGGGTGAGTGATTCAATGGTTAATTGGTAATTGCCACCCCCTTTTTTTTTCTTATTCTCTCATCCTCTTGACTCATTCTCACTCCCTTATTTCCATAAATTTTTTGTCGTTCTCTGAACGTCATTCATTACTTCTGCCCCTGTTTGCTCCCTCCACCCCACCCTCTGACTCTTTTTGTTGTTTTAGGTATTGGTGTTTAGTGATTTTCCAAAATATATTTGATAATGGTTGTCCATTCGTGTCATTAAATGATGTTAATCATTGAAACCAGATTTTTTTTTAACTAGAGTTTCTGGAAATCTCGGTTTTTTGAGAGTTTTATGGAATCTAGGAGAGATAGCAAAATTTTCGAAAAGATTGATTTGGTAGAGGTGAATGACAGCTACGAAAAAGGTATCCACCAAAATTCTAGTATCTCTAATAGATTTCGAGATATTACCCAGAAACTGGAGTGTATCTGAATGGAGTTGTGGTATTTACTTTTTTGTTGTTGAATTTGCAAAGTTGATTATTAAATATCGTATGATTTACCTAATGTTGATCGTACGGGAGTATAAAATTTATGGGTAAGATATTCCCGATTGATATCTGATTTAAATTCAATTTCATTTCTAATTAATTTTAAGATGTCTTTCACGTTAAATCGTTTGTTGTGGAGTTGTTCGTAATTTCTTGGATTATTGTTGACGTAGGGATGATGACCTTGGACTATTGGGGCTTCAATAATAATCAGATGTGGATTGTTTCAGACTAATCTGCCAGTTTTCAAGGTGAAGGAGTCCAGTGTGAGGAGGAGGTACAGCGATTTTGAGTGGCTGAGGAACGAATTGGAACGCGATAGTAAGGTCTGTAGATTTTTTCAAATAAAATCTTCAAATCAATATTAAACAATAGGATAGAGTCCGTCAAAATGGGACACTCCCGAAGAAGTGATTTTAACGTATTCCCAGTCATTTCATTTTTTCTTTCCCCAAAAAATGTTGGAGACAGTAAAAACGTCCCAGTGTTTTTTGTTGATTCAAGTTTTTCGTTTAATTATACGTTTGTTTTCTTACTTTTTTTTTATTTTTCAACATTTTTTTCTTATAATCGTAAAATTCTTTAGGTAGGGATTCATTTTTTAATCAGTCAAGGGTAATCAAATTCTGGAAAAATTTAAATGTTGAATAATTAATTGTTACGATAGACTTCTTCCCCCGTCACCCATTGAATCTCTTTATTCATGCCTTTTTAGCTGCATTCCATTTTATCCTGCGCTCCATGGATAAAAATCAATCTTAAATATTAATTATTTGAATTATTTGAATTATTTGAATTATTTGAATTTCCCACATTAAGTGAATAGTCATTTCTTAAATACGAAAAACAATAAAGATTGGTAAACAATTAAAAAATGATTCCCTTAATTTCTAGATTAAAATTTGGTTTTTTCGAGAATTATTACTTTAAACTTCAAATTTCTGTAGAAATAAATAAAGAAAAAATGTAACTTATGGTAATTATTTCGAGAGATTATTAATTATCTTGTAAATTATCTATTTTACTAGTCCTTCTGTCTATATTGGTGTTGTTGAATTATAATGATTTAGGCATCACTCAGAGATTTTTTTTAATGGCAATATAATTTACAGATTGTCGTGCCTCCACTCCCCAGTAAAGCCTGGAAGCGACAGATGCCTTTTCGAGGGGACGATGGTATCTTCGAGGACGAATTCATCGAGGATCGCAGGAAGGGATTAGAGATTTTCGTTAATAAGTGAGCGTTACCCATTTATTTATACCTTGAAATGTTTTTTGAAATTTTTTCATTGAAGTCCTTCATGTTTATTTAAATTCTCACTAAAATTCTTTTAAATTTTCTCTCCAACTCTTCCCTCTAATCTCTTAACAAAAGTTTTACAAACCTGAAAAAAATATAAATAATTTGTTAAATGCGTTTTGTAAAAGTCAATTAAACTATCTATTGATTTATTGATTAAAATTTGATTGTAAAATTTTTGGGATTTGATTAGAGTGGATTTTAATGGATTAAAATTCCTCAAGAGTTAATTATTATTAACCTCTGGGTTTATTTGAATGATTTATTTTAATTTAAGGATTGCTGGGCATCCACTGGCCCAAAACGAGCGATGTTTACACATGTTCCTGCAGGAGCCAATGATAGACAAGAACTACGTCCCAGGAAAAATAAGAAATACGTAGACTCACTCCTTAACATTATTTTCCCGTGATTTTTTTTCGCTGAGCAGTCTTTTGGGGTCATTGCCACATCCATTAACTCCAAAATATTCACCGAGACCGGAGATTTATCGATGTTATCACAGTATATTTATTTCTCTCACACCGATAAGAGAATAATTCGGGAGAACAAGAAATTGTGGATGAAAATTCAATGACTTTGGGTGCTACTCGAATTAAAAATCTGAAGATCTTTAAAATTTTACCCTGGCTAAATTTTTCATAACGATAATTAATTTAATAGCGAACTGTTAAAATGCTATGAGTCAAATTAAAAATTATTCGTAATCAGCGATTTATCTCGAAAACTATTGATTGCTCGAAGAAATGACAAAAGACATTTTTTCTCGGTTATTTATTTATCTGAAAAAAAGTCCCTAACCATTTTTATTGTAGATAAATAGTCTTCGAGATAAATGGATAATAAGAAATGAAATTCGATGTGTGTCGCTTTATCAATTCGCTACTGAATAAAATCCCAAATTTATTCATGTGGAGATGATGGAAACAACCATGACAGGAGATTTTTTGATATTTAAAAATTTACATTTACATCGGGTGGGCGCAAATGGTTTGTAAGTGCTAGCTGTATTTATATAACAAATACGTCTCCTTGAGACTCTTGTTTATATTCACTGCACCAGCAGTTGATTTTTTCCCCTTTCGAAATCACGACAGGAGTGAACAAGAACGTAATGTTACAGTATGAAATCATGTAGAATTAAGGATGATATTTCTTGTTGAACGATTGAAATGAAAAATGTTTGCAGGATGTGATAAGGATTAAATTTTCGTCACTCCTTAGGCAACAGAACTTCTTTATTTCAAGTAATCAGGGGTGTGCGAATTATTCGAAGTGACGGATAAATAAAAAGACTATTCTTCAAAATCATTATGTAAATCGCAAAATTTTTTTTTATTTTAATTTACAAAAAAGACCAATGAGTTAATTCTCTATTTTTTTTAGATTTTCATTATTTTATAAAAGGAGTAGGGGAGACGCGGGAAAATAATCGATTGGATGAATCCATTATTCAACATTTCACGTTTTCCACAATTTTATTACACTTGACTGATTAATAAAATGTTCAATTTCCATATAAGAAATTTCATGTTCAGAATAAAAAATGAGCGATTCAAATTATGGGGGGTATTTCTTGAGACTGTTGAAAAATAAAAAAAGTAAGAAAATAATTAAATTAGCAAAAAACACTGGGACACTGTCCAAAATTTTTTAGCGAAAAAAAGAAACGACTGGGTGTGAGTTAAAAAGGCTTTTTCACACGTGTCCCATTTTGCCCAGCTCTCCCCTAATTGTCAAATGAATTTCCTTAACGCCTTTACGTTTTAGCCCACGAGAAAAATAATGCGATTTGATTCGAACTATTGGCGCACCCCTCAAAATAATCTAGTTTATACCATAAAATACGTTTGTAATGCTCACATTTTATTTCTCAATTTTCCATCGATTCAGTACGAAAATCAAGCAGTACCTGCATGGATCAGTAAAATAAAAAATTCAATAACTAATGAAAAATTGATGAAACATGCGGGTACTCGCTTTATTGTACCCGAAATATTAATAAATCTCATTGTGATCGGAATATTAAAATAATACACGTATAATTTAATTGATAATGCAAGGTAATGTGGAAGAGGAATTTTTATGAAAATTCTTATGGTAATTTGTACATTGTAATTGAGTGAATCTGTCAAGCACCTTTTCGACAACAATACCGTATTATATCACAATAGTGGTGTTTATACCAGTTTGTTGCACTCAATTATAACTGGAGGCAGACATAATATTGGAAATTATGAATAAAATCATTACTTTTCAAGGATTACCGTTTTATTCATCGATTTATCCAGTGAATATTCATCTCTCATCTCAACACAACTCAATCCCTCGTATTTTCATCTCCAGTCCCCCCAACACGTCAATCGAACAAAGAAATAAAATCAAAGTCAATAGGAATAATAAATTTAACAAATTTGGGTGATATAAACTATAAAAAATATTAAGCAAAAATTGTAAGAATGAAATAATCAATATTAATAGACTATTATGAAATTACAAGGTTTCGCGATACAAAGAGAAAAAAAAAGAAGTTCATATGTACATTTCATCGATCAAGTGAAAAAGCTTGAATTACTGGCTGACTTTGGTACAGGTAAGAACTAATTCACAAATAAATCTTGTGCAAATCCCTATCCTTAATTCAAAAATTCACATCACATTATTATCAATTTAATTCCCGACTCGATGAATAAAGAGAAATGACATAAAATTCTTAGAACAATGCAATTCCTAAATTCTCTGAGTTAAACTATCACAAGACTTCTATCCTTGAAACTAAACTTATTCCTAATACCTAATAATGACCTGTTACATGTGTATTATCACTTAATTATGTACATCTCGAGGAGAAATTAGGCCATGGGATGCAAAAATCCACAATTGCTGAAGCAACTGTGCAAAACGGATAAGATCACCAAAATATTCAAGAATTGTGATTAAATCTCACATATTCATTTATCATTTTAGTATTTCAAAAAACAATAATGATTCTGGAGGGGAAAATACCAGGAGTCTACTGTCTCGAATTATTAAATAGTTATGGTAATTGATTCATACTTATAATACACATTAACTGTACATATTTATGAATTCCTAAAGTTTCACTTAGGAAAATCGCTCTCAAAACTAAATATCATGAATTCTGATGAAAAAACAAATTTCTCCCAGTTTCTGCATCAAAGAATAATAAAAATATTATGAAAAAAATATTGAACGAAAACTTTGTCTTATTTTGATGTTTGTAACAGTCATAGCATGACGTGTTTTCTGCCTTTTATACGGTTTACTAAATTGCAAATCTTCAGTGCTGGTCCGAGCTTCAGCCCCATGTACTTCATCATCATGTCTGAATTCAGAAGTAGAAGTGCTTTGCCATCAATTTCCTACAAGCCACAAATTTTTTATACATTTTTAAAATTAATTAATGAGAGAATAAATTCATAAAAATTATGAATAGACTCACGTGCTTCCTGAATAAATCAGCGTGGACTCCTAATGCTGGGTCTGTGATGGCGATGTAGTGGATTACTTCCTCGATGGTCCACTCTGCTGGTTCTGTTGACGTTATTCTGCTTGAAACAGCTTCTGGTTGAGTCGTCGACGTCGCAGGTTCGAGCTCTAAATAGAATATATCATAGAATCCTTTATATTCATATTTATGTTCTATTAGCCATTCTATACTATACATTATATTATTATATTATATATTGTTACTGAAATTATATACTATATATATATATATTTTTTTAATAATCCTTTAAAAAATCATTGTCCACTCCAGTCACTTGATACTTTCAGTCCTCGGTGTCTCCCTCCGGTTATATATAAATCATATGTATCATTATATACCATTTCAAAGCTCATGAAATCAGCTTTCGAATGGTTTGAACGTCATCATTTTTTCTATACGCAAACCGAAGTTACGATTATTTAACCTTGGAGGTTTTAGGTTCGACCGAATTTTCAACACCCGTGTGTCATTTGAAAGCTTATTGTCTGGGTTTTCGAATGATACTATTTTCTATCCTTAGTATCGATTTAGTCTTGAGTTATGAACGTTCAAGCATGTGATCATATGAAAAGTCTACTTTGCATTTTTGCCATATTTCAATGTTTTTATCAAATTAATGGAGGATTACCAATGAGTATTATATTACATATACCATTTTAAAGCTCATTCTTTTAGCTTCCGAATGACCTTCAGCTCATTTGGTTACCTTCATTCTGTCCTGAGTTATGAATCAATAGACGGCATAATGACGTGTCAGACTTATCTTGTGTGTTAACGATTATGTGAAAATTTTCACGATTTCACAGATGAAACAAATGAAATATTCTTTTCATCACGATGTGCCGGAAAGTAACTTTCTAGGCATGCTTCGCTTCACTCCGCGTGCCTAAAAAGTTACTTTCCCGCACATTGCGAAGAAAAATATCGTTCGCAACTCGAACAGAAATTTGTTTTTGGCATGTGGAATTATAAACCTCCCATACACCCAACATCACTTTTCCGCACTAGTTACGAAATATACTAAAACGATTTCAAAGCTCACTTTCTATGCTTTCCGATGATACTATTTTCATTTGCCTATTTCCATTCTGTATCGAACAATGAACGATTGAATCTGTCTGATATTGCCCTAGTGAAAATAAAAATTTGTCAGTCAAGAATTTCCAATTGCAATAGCTCTCCAAACCCACCAGGTATAGATTTCCTCTGTTGCTTGGCAGCACTGGGTGCCACAATATCACCAGTCGGTTGATTTTTATCCTGATTCATCTGATTCTCAGTAGACCACCGCCTCTTCTCAGCTCCAGAATTGCTATCCTCCCGATCCAACGAGCTACTCTGAACACTGGGACACTTGTCGCACGTCTCCTGCCTCCTGTAGACGAGTCTCTCGCAGGCGCACAGCTCCTCGAGCTGTCGCCTTATATAAACGTAGAAATCCTCCTCCTCGAGGAAGACTGGCACCCTAACTGACGTCAACTTACTCTCCAGTGTTAAACTTATGCATTCGCCTTCCCCTCGTTTCAGAAGACTGAGCATCTGCCTGGGACTCATTGCTGCCATCAGAAATGCCTGGAAGACCTCTCTCAGGACGCTGGAAATTGAGCCTGGGCCGAAGGGCGAGGACAGGGCCTTGACCTTCTTCGGATCAAAATAGGGACCACATGAACAGTTATGATTCACGTGAACAGTCACATTGTCGAGAGTTCTTGGTTTATTATTAGCAGTGCTTGTATCAGGCTCAGTAGCTGGCTGAGGTGGTGCACTCGAACCAGCAGGACTGACAAGTGCAACAGCAGGTTCAGCTCCAGCACCACTTCCAGAGACCGCCATCACAGGTAAAACATTGCTGTTTCTCGATTTAAATCGATTTGGGCCAGTTGCTTTTTGCCTTGGAGGTTGAAGTGGATGGCCACTCTTGAAGCACCATCCAGCTGGAAAAATATCCCTCGAGTCGTATCTACACCAGTAATCAAAAGCCCCCCTCCAGCCGTCAAAAGTAATGTGAATCATGTCATCTCTGACCCCACCAATTGTAGCTGTGCAGATAAGCTGTGGATTTTTCTTGTCAATTGCCTCGAGTTTCTGTCCAATCTCGAATGTATTTGTCCTTGGTGTTTTGGGTTCTCTTTTAAAGACCTTGGCGGGCGCCATTTCAGCTCCATTGAGAGTCTTCAGCAAAAACATGGGCCACATGGAGGCATTCATTCGAAAACCAAGAGGTGGCTGAAGCATTCCCCCTGATTTTTCACAGTGACCAATAGGGTGGATCTCATTGCTGTCCACAAGCCTCCAAAAATCATTTTTATTATCAGATCCATCCAATCGGAGTCTCAGTCGTGGCCCCAGGACACCAACGACAGATGCAATGCATGTTGAGGTGAGATTTCGTGGATCCAGTGCCTCCAGCTTCATTCCCATCTTGAATTCATTGCTCGGGGGAACAGCATGCTGCTTGAAACACTCAGCTGGTGCTGCTGTGCTGTCTGTCTCCTTGAGGTACATCTCCCAGTCAAAGGTCTGATAGGTCTCGTACTGAAAGGGACCCGTCGAGGTCGAGGGTGAGGCATTTACCTGGTTACCAGTGCCATTTGTCTTGCTGTTCGTTGGAAAAGACTGGGGAAGTATTCCACTACTGCTTGGAATACCCGAAGGAGCAGGAGATGCTGCTGGTGATGGCTGATCACTCGTATTTTTCTTTGATTCTGCCTGGATCTCCTTCTTCTGGTGCTTGTTCAGGCAGAATGACGAGCAGAAGTCTTTTGTCGGGCCGTCTTTCTGCTCCAGCTTCACTGGAGAACCTCTGATCACATTATCGCACTGCACGCATGCACCGCGTACGTATGCCTTACGAAATTCTGAGAGACAAGTCTCAGAGCAGAACTCTTTCTTGCCATGTTGGGTCGGCAGGACATACTTCAGCGGCTGCTTCGTCTCATTGCACCATGTGCACGCATTTTTGGACTTTGGGGGACGTCCTGGACCTTTGGAAAAGAACAATATTTAATAAAAACACAATCATTCGACTTTTGCAAGATTTCAGGGATTAACAGGTGCTGGCGATTTTTGAGGGGATGGGTAGACGATTTATCTTGAGAATCTCGGAGGGTCGTGGGAAATGTCATGAGACTTTTCTGTAGAAAATTTAAGCTGTTGGAAAATTACAACTATTTTGAGTTTGTTTTAGGGACTAGTGTGACAATAGTTTAAAAATAATAAAATTACACATGCAAAAAAGGGAAGCCATGTTTGGGTTTGAAAAACATTTTCTGTAGTTTTCAATTGAGATTCAGATTATGATGAATAAATAAATAATCAAAATATACATTAAATATATATTGTATGACTGACATCATTTTTAATTTCTTTGAAAAAGTTATTATTATATCGTATGATATATTAGCAAAATAAAAAGGTGACACAAAATGTTACGTTAGTTTTCTAATTAAATATTAATTAAATATTAATTTGTCTTCGATAGTATTTAAATTATGGGAAGATTCTAGATCTTTTTAAAGGATAAAGTTTCTTTGTTTTTTTATATTCAGGAGTTATCGAGTTTTTGAATTTCTGGAAAACTCTGGAACAGATTAGAGAAAAAAAATATACCGTTTCCTTTATCTTTATCATTCTTTATCATTCTTCAATGACTCACTAAATTTTATAGTCGTGTGTTTAGTGCTCTAAATTGTTTGCAAAATTATACGAATCTGTGAACTTTTGTTAAAGTTTACTGAGAACGTCGGGAAATTCTTCCTCAGTGATAAAACCTCGTGAGATATTGAATAATAATAATAGTTAAAATATTTGTTTTACGACAACTTTATCAACCGTTTATCATAAATTTGTAAAAGAAACATGAAAAGTGAGAGAATATCGGCAATAACTCTTTAAATGAATTGTTCTCGAGATTGTGCGAAAAGCAGAAAATCTAAAGTGATAAGAAAAATTCAAGAAACGAGAACTCCGTGAAATCCCACAATAATTCTTCCTAAAATCCTGAAATAGTAATAAAAATTCAGATAAAAATTTGCAGAATTGATCTTATAAAATTCGAAAAAATAAATACATCCAGAAAAATTGGTAATAAAAATGGAAATAAAGGTTAACCCCGAGACTTACCTCTCATTTTGTTGGATACACTAGACATAATGTCCGAAAAATCCCGAAAAAATGTCGGGCTGTCTGAAAAAATCACCCAAATATTCCAGGAATCATCATCCGGTGAATAATCTCTTTGTAATGAATCAGTCTAGTCATATTATGGTGTCTTGACGTTGAAAAAAATGTATTCCTCGATGAAAGTGAAATTTTTCGGCGAACTGTGACGCACTGGAATAGTCAATTGCCTCCCATATTTCCGGGAAAATAAATAAAAGTGCGAACGTACGATCAGCAGGTGATAATTGTCCAGTGACTCTAGGAGAGGGAAATTCGATAATTATAATTGAGTGGTACCGATTGGGTAATTAATTCGCGTTTGCGAACAATTGATTGTCGGGGCTTGCCAAAAAGACAAGACAACTATTTGTTACGTCGCCATATTGGCACTGGCGTCACCCACGTATACCACATTACGGGTAATTGTAGTGGTGTGTACGTGTGGAACGGCGGGAGACAACGCCATTCGTCGAGAGATTTTTTTTTATTTTTTTTTTTCAACTCATTTTTTTTATTCTTCTCTACGCACGAATCTGAAATTTATGATTTTTCATCGATAATTCTGGTGGGAAGTGGGGGACTAGGATAAGTGTATTTTTTTCGGGACCAGTTTTTAGTTAGTACTCATGGGGTAATCACTTTTTAAATCTGGGGTACAGGTGATATTGAAATTTTTTTACTTGAAATCCTATGGAATCTTTTGAAATGTTATAAAATCTTGGAATTCTAGGGAATCCCATGGAATCATGTGAAATCCTATCGGATCCAGAGAAATACTTTTGTTGCCATTCGTCGAGACACTTTTTTTATTTTTTTTTTTTCAACTCATTTTTTTTTATTCTTCTCTACGCACGAATCCGAAATTTATGATTTTTCATCGATGATTCTGGTGGGAAGTGGGGGATTAGGATAGGTCCATTTTTTTCTAGACCAGTTTTTAGTTAGTACTCATGGAGTAATCACTTTTTAAATCTGGGGTACAGGTGATATTGAAATTTTTTTACTTGAAATCCTATGGAATCTTTTGAAATTTTATAAAATCTTGGAATTCTATGGAATCCCATGGAATTCTGTGGAATCCTATGGGATCCAGAGAAATATTATTTTTCTAGCCATTATCTTGTTTTACAAACAGGTTCTATTAAAAACCACTTCATCTCCCCCCAATTTCGAAATATTTCGGTAAATCAACTTGAAATTTTCCAAAATCATAATGATTTTCTACTATTTAACGATAGCCCTCCATTTAATAATTAGTGGATTCCATTAATTAATTAATTAAATTCTGTAAATTAACAGACTCAATGAAATTTCGTAAATTTCAATCCATTTTTTAAGAATAACTTCGAAACTACTAGAGCTACAGAAATTTACTGAGAACATTTTTTACAGCTATTATTCATCTCTACAAAAAAGGTCTTATAAAAAATCGTTCTATCTCCCCCCGATCCTACGATATTCCCAAAAAACTACTTGAAATTTTAAAAATTCAAGACTCGGCTCCGAAACAATTTTTTCATTAATAAATCGTTTGAAATTGATTTAAAGAAAAATCAAATTTCCCAAAATTATGATGACTTCTCCATATTCAAGTTTTCTCCTCAATTCCGCAATTACTTGGTTTCCTTATTTAATTAATTGAACTCTGTAAATTAACAAACAATTCAATTCTGTAAATCGACACTAATTTTTTTAGAATAACTCCGAAACTACCAGAGCTACAAAAATTCACAAGATACATTTTTCATAGCTATTACTCGGCTCTACAAAAAAGGTCCTATAAAAAATTACTCTACCTCCCCCCAATCCGGAGCTATCCCAAAAAAACAATTTAAAATCATTAAAACTCAAGAACCATCACTGGAACGTCTTTTTTATTCATTGAAATGGATAATTTAAAATAATTCCAGCCACATACAAATGATGACTCAAAATATGATGATTAAGGATGTTCGACACCCACATATAGCCAAAATTAATTCACTTTGTCAATGAAAATTATTTGATAACCACGTGAATTTTTTTTTTCGCTGATTTCGTCTGTTACTTTTAAAACAATTTTTATTTCAATTTACTATTTTTTTCCTGAGTGTATACAACAAGCTTTTCACAATACCGTCTGAATTTTCCGATTCCATCGACTTCATCAAGAGCTACATCTAATAACCTGTCAAATTTCTGGAGTCACATTTCAAAAAATAATAATTCCATTCCAGTAAAATCCGCAATGACCTTCATTATCCTCACAAATACCCATCGAGATACGCGGTAGCGTATCGGCCAAGTACACGTTTCTTACACGAAAGACCACCGATAGCTACCAAGTATCTATACACCATACAACTTCCCCTTCCACTACCTCCAATCCATTTTTTTTATTTAATAAATTTACGCGATCATTTAGATGAAAACTGGCCTTAGTTACATCATATAAATCGCATATCAGCTTTTCACTGATTTAATTATAGTTTTATTTAATGTTCACCTATACAAAATCATTAGAACTGTAAATCGAAGACTCAAAGAGGAAATAATAAAAATTACAGAAAAAAATCGACATTAAACTCAATATCGTAAATTTCACTGAAAGTAAAAAAATTACTTGATTGTCAAATAATTGCCATTGATAAAATGAATAGAAGAGTTTTGGTTAATTATCGATGGATGAAAAAAAATCTGACGTTTCAGCCTTTTATCACTATTTAAGGATGTTCTGCCGGTATTTTGTTATTCTTCCTATTTTTCTGAGATCTATTGAAAACTGTCGATCGGATTGGGATATGAAAATATAGCGTTTGTCCGTTACATCATGATTTATCCTTTCCCAAAGTTTCATCCCGATACACCAATTTTTATAATTTTTCACTAAAATTTATTGACTTTTGTTAGAATATAGCCTCAGTCTTCTACGAATTGATTTCTATGAGTCTATGGTTTCAAAAATGTATCAACATGAAGAGAGAGGAGAGACGTTGGGATTAGACATAAACATAAGCCATAAGCCATAAGCCATGAGGTCATGTGGCAATGGGACTGGGGATCCTTCATCACATGACGATTTTTCTTTTGGTTTCGTTGACCACTTTTAGTCTGCTGTGGCAGGTCGTATTGAACAGACATTTCTTCCTCGTGCCATTTTCAATAAACTTAAATTAACGTATTAAATCCACTGTCTTCAAAGTTATTAATTTTTTTTTTTTATTAAAATTAAATTTTTAATTAAATTTTAGTGAAAAGTTACAAAAATTAGTGTACCGGGATGAAACTTTATGAAAGAGTCAATCATGATGGAACGGACAAACGCTATATTTTTATATCCCAATCCGATCGATAGTTTTCAATAAATCTCAGAAAAACAGGAAAAATAACAAAATACCAAAAATAGCAAAACATCCTTAATGACTCACGAATTTTCTGGCGGTGCGATAATTTTCACATTTTTGTGATTCTTTTAGTTTATAAAAAGTTTATAAAAAACACAGAAAAATATTACCACCCTGAACTCCATGAGTCATTAAATAACAACAAAACGCTAAAGCGTTATATTTTTTCACGTCAATCCCACAGTAAGTCTGTCAGAAAAATGATGAAACGTTAATTTTGGGTGGCATGGGTGTATAACACAATATTTATCTGCACCAAGAGTGATGATTTGAGAAATTCCACGTGCAAATGACGTTGAAGTCATCGGAAATAATCGTGAAAGATCGGGGTAATTCGTGTCGCGTCACAACGGTCTCACAACCACATGAGGGTTCGCCAATCCTTCTTTTTTTAACCTAACAAACCGATGGTGGGGTGTTGAGAGGAAAAAGAGGAAAGGAAAAAAGAAGTGGAAAATGATCTGTCTGTGGGTAATCCCTCGGATCTCCCAGTGACCAGTTCTCAGTGTCTCGATTTAAAATTATCACTGGATTAAATTCTTATTGAAAATTCCTCAATTCATTCCAATGGTTATTAACCAGGCCATCGCCTCTTTTCATTATTCCCGCGTTACAATTTGACGCATTTTTTATTATTATTTTTTTTTATTCTATCGTGCCTCACGATGCGTTGACCCGACAGTTTTACTTTTTATTTAGACATCCTGTGTCTATTTTCCACTGTTTCTGATAGAAGAAATTAGAATTGTCAGAGGGAATTGAAATGGCGGGGACGTATAAGAAACAGGAGTTCCTGGGGGCTGAGGAACATCTCCTCAAGGATTCAAATGCACCTCGAATTGTCGCAAAGGGTGAGTTTTTCAAAATTTTTTCATTCATTTTAGTTTAATCGACGGCACTTGTCAGAAGAACTGATAAAGAAAAATAAGTAGTTAATGGTTTTGGTGATTAGCTATTTATCTTGAAAAGTATTAACTTAACAGGGAAATGGTAAAGGACTTTTATGTAGATGATTAAGTTTTTTTAAAAAAAGTACTTTTCATATTTTGTCGAAAGGTTAATAATTTTCGAGCTATGCATATTTATTTATGTGACAAAACTGAAAAACAAATTTATCTCACGTTGAAATTTTTTGGAATTACCAATTTATCTCGAAAACTATTGACACGATGTGAAATAGGGAAAGGACTTTTTTGTGACTAATTAAATTTCCGACAAAGTAGATCTTATAACATTTTCTCCTAAAGTCAGTAGTTTTGTTTATAACAATCAATTTATTGACCTAACCAAATTAAAATTGCACTGATGCCAGTTCTAGTATTTGCTTAATCTCGAAAACTATCAATTTTACACGAAAACCATCAGGAACTTTTTTGTAGCTGATTAAATTTCCTCCAAGAAAGGTCCCATGGATTTTCTCCTAAAATCAATAATTCTCGAGATCAATCGATTTTTAGTACAAATGTGTCAATAACTTCAATTTCTTAGAAGATTCGACATGTATTTTCTTCATTGAAGTTCAAATACTTGGAAGTGCAAGATAAATAAACCTTTCCTAACCATTTTAGAATTTTTTTTTAGCTTTTTATCACTGCAGTCTCGACCTCGTGGTCAAGAATTTTTGGCTATACTAACCAGTTCTATATTTCCTGCTGATCCCTTGTGATGCTGTCCTCAACCAGAATTCCATCTCCTTTTTTATCGAGTCAGTCGACACGCACTCAGTCACATCCAACGGTAGTTTTCTGTGATCATCTTATCATTTATCCTCAGTTTTTCAACTATTCCTCAGAGAAAAGGTTCGTCATCCCTCACTGCATCCACCAATTCAACTCTCAATATTCTCCAATTCATTTTGTCCTCGATTTTACGCCTCTGTTCTACAGTTTATTATTATCCAAGGTTCTACAACTTCTCAGCAATATTCTATCACAAATCCAACTCAATTTAACAATTCAATTCATTTATTTTAATTATCAAATTCGTCAGTTCAGTCCAGAACTGATTAAATTACACGATTCAACGCATCTTCGTAATTATCGATCTAACTCATAAACTATCGATTTACCGTGAAAATCGTAAGAGACTTTTTAATAGCTAATTAAATTTCCGATGAAAATGATCTTTTCACTTTTTCTCGTAAAATCAGTAGTTTTAGCCATACATCAATATTTACAGAATGGAAAATGAAATTTGAAGATTGTTATGATTTTCAATGGTATAATCTCTTCTGTTTAATGAGGAATAACAATTATTTTGAATAAATTGCTTGAGAATTTGGAAAAACTTCACCCAATTTTAATGTTTTTTTAATTTAGTTTTCTTCCTGCTTTTTTTCAGACGATAAGAATTGCAAACTAAAAACATATAGCACTTTTCTGTCACGAGATATTATCGGTAAATTTCTGCTTACTTATGTCTGACTCTTCATTCACTAAATCAACAAAAATATAATGGAAATGTAGTGGAATATTCTGTGCTCTGCCTCCAACTCAGAGATAAAATTGAAGGTTTCAAAATTCTTTTCATGAACGAACGATAGTTTTCACGAATGTTAGATTGAAAGATACCGATTTAATCATTCTATTGATGCGAATTGGTCCATCATACTCGAGTTATTCATTTATCGGGTTGACTTGTTGATTTAATATTGCGGGAGTTATCAAGGAGATCATTGATGCCGGTTGTTGAATGAAGCAGTGATTGGAGAGGAAGAGGGGATTTAATTTTTTATTTTTTTCATTTGGAACGCATTTTTTAAGGCTCTGAACCCGTCAGGCTATCGCCAGGTTGGGAGGGCACTGGAAGACCCGACGACGAACTCAATTTCAAAGGGGTCACTATGGATCAGGCTGATCTTGAACTCAATCCACCCAGAGATAGGTATGAATTGTTTAATTGAACGAATTTAAATCGAAAAACATTCAATTTCTTGAATTCATCTACTCTTTTTGTGAATATCTCGGGATCTACAAAACCTACCGAAAAATTGTATAGAATCTTTTTTGTAGATCCGATCTTTTCCCATGAAAAAGGTCTTCACAAAAAATTCGCCATCTCCATCCTGTTTCGAGTTATTGCACTCAAAATTTCATTTTTTTTTTTGTGGTTTTCCAAATCGAATGAATAAAGTTTAGTTTCGCGTGAATTTCACAGAATCTAGGCGAACTAGCGAGAATTTGTATATGACCTTTTTTGTAGATCCGACCTTTTTCCATAAAAAAGGCTTTTACAAAAATGTCATCATCTCCATTCTGTTTCGAGATTTTTCACTCAAAATTTCACTCTTTCCTGCAGCCCTCCCAATGTAATGAATAAAGTTAAGTTTTGTGTCAATTTCGCAGAATCTACGCGAGCTAGCGAAAATTTGTATACGACCTTTTTTATAGATCTCTCTTTTTCCCGTAAAAAAGGTCCCGACGAAAAGTCCGTTATCTCCCTTCATTCCCCGGCACTTCGCGAAAAACCACTCTCAATTGCTCCCTCTTTTCCCAAAACTGAATTTTTTGGATGTCAAGGTTAAACAATTGACAATTGACAGATCGATGTCATCATTGATTAGATTAAAATATTCAGGCCTCAAAGGACTTTAACGAATTAATTAAAAATGAATAGCAGAAACCGGTCCCCCATCATTACCATAAATTAACTTCGGAGTTTAGAAATAATTAATTATGTTCCATTTGATTTGTGATTAATTCTAGACTCAACATCGTGTATTTCATAATGCTGCTGCACGGTATAGGTGCTCTGATGCCTTGGAACATGTTTATCACAGCCGAGGGGGTAAGTGACTCAGATAACAATTAAAACACTTGATACTGCCAACGACGTGTCAATTAATCCACGTATTTTGCACTCCACGTCATTTCTATGAAATTACACCTCATGGAATATTTTTTATTTTTTTATTTCAGTATTTCCAGAAGTACAAGCTCTCGCCAAATTATACTGGAGATCCCAACATCACTTATTATGGGAATATGTACGTGGGAAGCGTCTGCTTTGCTGCCCAGATTCCTAATTTAATATTCAATTGGGTCAACGTATTCATTCCATTCAGGTGAATGCTAGAATCCATTCAGATATTCAATATTTTCATTGAAAAACAAGCAAACTATAATTTTTTAATTTTTATTTCGTTCGCTGCCCGTTAATTTGAACTCTATTAATTCTTTAAAATAAATTATCCGTGTATGTAACGCCTTCCTTGAATTTTTAGGGTGATTCCTTTCTTCTTTTGATATTGAGATAATATATTGTGTAATTAATTAAAAACTTATTTAATAGATTTCAAAAAATTTTTGCTATAAGAAGTAACATGAATATTTTCCGGTTTTGCCTAAATTCGTCATTTCTAATTTCAAATTTGTTTTAATTTTTCTATAGTTCCAAAGTAAATGAATAGGAATATTTATGAGGGATACTCGGGAAAAATGGGGCACAGGATAAAGTGGAATGAGGGCGAAATTGGATGAATGAGGTTCAATGCGAGATGAGGGAGAAAATCGATCGTAAGAATCTAAGAATTTAATTACAGTCGACTGATAAAAAAATGTTAAATTCCCATATAAGGAATTTTACGATCAGAATGGTGTCCCATTTTGCCCGGCTCTCCCCTATACCATTTGAAGAGAAATTTCTTCTTCTTTGTAATGAACAGCAGTTGTATTCAGTTGCGTTTTTAAAGAGCTATTCAAGTTTTTCCATTTTCCATCATTATGTCACGTTATAAAATTCACGCTTATTATTAATTATCACAGCATTCGATGCAATTTATGAGAATAGATTGTGAGTCATTCTAGAGGCCTCACGTAGCTCTTCATAATGCCATCGGCATTTTCCAATTCTATCGATTTGATCAAGAGTTATCGATAATCTGTCGAATTTCACGTGTCACTTGAAAAACCAGAAGAATTATTTCATTAATTATTTAATCTGCTAAAAAACCTTTTCGTTTTTCTCATTTAATTGGCAGTTTTAAGAATAAATAAATGAGGAATTAAAGAAAAGGCTTGAAGCTTGAATAAAAAAATACATGTAAAAATTGAAAAATTGTTGAAATTAGTATTTATAATTCTGTAATTTTTGCAGTGGAAGTATGACGACCAGAATAGTCTGGGGACTGACGATTCAGGCTGTAATCTTCGTTTTCACAGTTGTGATGGCTATGGCTGACACCTCAGGTTTTCCTATTCCATTTTTCTGGATGACAATGGCTTCTGTAGTGATTCTAAACAGTAAGTCCATAGAAACTATTCCACGAACAATTATCGCCTCGCAGAATGAATAATTTTTAATCCGAGAAATATTCCCATCCATCCGTAATTCTAGGAATGATTAAGGCCCGGATGGACTGTCTGGAAAAGATAATTTACTCCAAAATTGGGACTTTTAATTACTCCGTCAATTAATCGTTTTTTTTTTTCGATAATTGTTAGCTAGCGGCCTAATTGTTGACAACCGCTAGAACGCTAGCTAACAATTATTGAAAAAAACGATTAATCGCCAGAGTAATTAGGAATCCCAATTTTGGAGTAAATAATCTTTTCCAGATAATCCAGTCGGCCCTTAAACATTTATTAATTTCCAGCTGCTAATGGAATTTATCAGAACTCTGTCTTCGGATTGGGAGCGAAATTGCCAGGGAAATACACTGGGGCAATAGTTCTGGGAACGGTACGACAAATTTATCAGTAAATTGCGATAAATTGAATTTCATTTCTCCCTTAATTATCGTTTTATCTCGAAAACTATAAATTTTTATGGAAAACAGATGAAGATGAAACAGATGATTCATAAGTAACAGATCCGAGAGTCTGATCAGGCACATGTGTTATGACGCATACACGGCGCATACTCATTGGAAAGCTTAATCAGCAAACTTCAAAATGGCACCTTATTTGTTAATTTCTGACGATTTTTCATTGCCTTATGACAGTTTTAGGTGAAAACTTATTTTCATGTTGCCCAAAAAATTAAGTTTATCTCAATTTTTCATGCTTCTGGATGGATCAGGCAATTAAATTCATAGATCATTCTGAAGAGCATTTATTGCTCTTCAAATTGGTGTATGACAAATGTAATTTAACTGAATGGTCATCAAGTTATAGCACATTGTTTCCATTTTTCACTTTATGTCACACCATAAAAATTTCAGTTTTCGCCATTTATCGAGAGTTTACAGTGCACTAACGGAGATATATCACATATCGATTTGAAGATCTCGATGGAATGACCCGGAATGAAGAATGAAAATAGAAGATATGATTTTGAACATTAGATGTTGAATTCCGTGCAGCCCAAGTAGCTCGTCTCATCTAGTTTCTTAAAAATTTGATGAACTGTGAAAAAGTCCTCTGACGTTTTCAGATTAAATCCGTAGTTTTTGAGATGATCGATAATTACGTTAATCGTGTTAATAAAGGAAACGTAATTCTTCGTTGGAGATGGTGATTGGAGTAATGAGTGGAAATTAAATTGCAGAATATCAGTGGGACGCTTACAGCTGTCATTAATATCCTGACGCGGGTGATGACACCGAACCTACGTACCGCAGCAATATACTATTTCATAACTGCATTGTTCATTATTCTCGCCTGTTTTGACACGTACTTCGCTCTTCCCATAAATGTGAGTAGCGCCCACCGGATAAATTCCGGCATTCGATTAAAAAACCATTAAAACCACCAAAAGAGCTCTTTAATTGCGAATTCGACTGTGAATCTATGAAGGAATTAGGGGACTCCCCGGGTGAAATGAGACACTCGCGGAAAAGCGTTTTTAATTATTAGTAAAAAAAATTCCAACCATTTCTTTCTTTTCGCCAAAACATGTTGGAGATAGTCTAAAAGTGTCGCAGTGTTTTTTTCTAAATTAATTCTTTCTTTTGATTATACTGATGTTTTCTTATTTTTTGGATTTTCAAACATCCTCGCAAGATACCCCATCTAATTTGAATCATTCATTTTTGGTTTCTGATCATGAAATTCGTTATGGGGGCGATTCCACAGAAATAGTGATATCTATGTCAGTACCGTGGCCATTCAGATGCGCTTCCCAAGCCTCAGCCGAACGATCGTAGACAGATTGGCAGAATCTGGTAGAAAAATATTGATGTACTCTCCGAGTGTACTAATTTTGAAGTACTCATGTCAATCAGTATTCCATCGGGAGAAGATTTTCAGAAAGTCACTGTACTGACACTGACAGTACGTTTTGAGATATTTCTTGAGAACGGTAGCAGAAAATTATCACATTTTAATGAAATAAATAAGAAACATGTGACGGCACGTTTCGTATGTCAATTCCGAGTATGGTGTGTGCTATAGTGGAAAAAATGATGAATAAATTCATTATTGAAGACACGGTACTCACATAAATACTCTTGAATGTCACAGCATCGACTGGTAAATCACATTTTCAGAAAAGTCATTCGTCTCCAAGAATGTTCAAGGATATATCTGGTCATTCGGCACTAACTTGGTCACGTAGTAGTATGTGTTATCTTGTTATGATGATGAAAACAGTGTTTTCGTGATAATAACTATTTTCGTGGAATTACCCATATGGGAATTCAATATTTTTTTATCAGTTATGTGTCATAAAATTGTGGAAAATTGAAATGTTGAATAATGGATTCTTACGATCGATTCTTTCTCCTCGTCTCCCATTGAATCCTCCTCATTCTAATTTATCTTGTGTCCCATTTTGCCCGGGTCTCCTCTACTAAAAATCGAGGCCTTCAACTCTCATCTTAATTTTCTTCTGAATTGACAGAAATATCTGTCAATATTTTAATTACATTATCATCAATTATTTCAGAGGTTTTATCGTTACCACGAGCTCCTGGCGAACAAAGAGAAGACGAAAAACGTCGGCCGGAAGGACAGGCCACCGTACTTGAAGATTATCCGAGAATGCTCAGTCCAGCTGTTCAATATATTCTTCGTATTCTTTGTTACACTCGCACTATTTCCAGCTGTTCAATCGGGCATAAGAAAGAGTGATCCTGAATTCATTGTTCATAAGGATTTGTATTCTTCTATTATGTGTTTCCTGACTTTCAACGTTACTGCGATGTTGGGCAGTTTGCTGGCTCCAATTTTGAAATTTGTAAGTGAAAAATCTTTATTAATTTAAAAATCTGGTAAAACACTCACAAAAGATGACTAAAAGTCTCGAGAAATCATAGAAGCTCACAAAAACCTTGGAAATATCGAAAAAGTCAAGTTTATAGACTCAAAATAATTTTTAAAAAGTGAAGAATTGCTTTTTCATTAAATATCCTATAGTTATTATTGCTAATAAATTATCAATACAAAGGGGGGAAGAGAAGGGAAGGGAGGAGCAAGAAGGAACCACAGGGAGAGAGAAAGTAAGAGAGATAAAAGAGAGTGAGCTGGGGAAAGAAATAACAGACCGGGAAATAGCAACGGTGATAAAGGAACTCAAAAATGGAAAGGC